TTCTGAGATTGCAGATCTGTAAACCTATCTGGTATTTCAGCAACCAGCTGGGAGCAAAGAGTGCCATGTAGTTTTCCTCCTCCTGGCCAGATGCAGGCTTTCTAGGAGATTCTCTACTAAAGGGGGCCCCAGCCCAGACAGCTGCCCTGCTGGTCACTTTTGTCACCTCACTCACCTGTGCTGCATGCCAACATAGGAGCAAGGGGTTCATGTTGTGTGCTGCTCTTGGTTTAGGTCCCATTCCTGCCAGGTTCCCAAGAGACCATGGTGACATGCAGAGCAAACTGCCAACACATGTGACCCTCAGAACAAGGAATCTGTTAGGGACCTTCTGAGGAGAACTTCACTCCAGCCTTGCCTGGAGGAAGACACTGATTCCTTCCAGTCAGGGCAAAAGCCATAGGCTTCTGCTTTCACAAAGAAAACTATATGTGAACTAGACCTATACTGAAAAATTCTCCTAGATTATCAGTAAAAAAATACAAAAATCTGTATCTCCTAGTAAAAAATACAGGAAGTAACAGCATAATGAATCTCAAATAATAGTGGACTTCTTAGAATCTGACATTGGCTAGAATCTGGAGATTCCAATGTCAGAACTATTTAGTTTTAATTCTGACTTACTAACTGGGTGGCCGTGGACAAGCTACTCAATTTCTTTCTGATTTATTTTCTTTACCCATTCTTTGAAAAACTGTATAAGTAAAAGCAGCCGAAGCACTTTGGGACTGGACAAACAACATTTTCTAATGTTAGCTTATTATTTTTAGGTATTTTTATCATGAAGAAAAAAATACCTTTTTCTAAAAGAAACTCTACTTAATCATAAGAATAATCCATAGGCACAGTCATCCTAGACATTTCTGATAATCTTGATTTTTAAATATTTTTAAGTCACTTATCACCTTTCAGGTATTTCTTAGTTTTGCTACATTCTTCCAATGTCATAGAAGACAACTATATTTGTATAATAAAATCTTGACAAAGTACTTTAAAAAAAACTACACAGTAAAGTGTTAGTCTGTTTGGCTGACCCATTTTAACTACAACTCTATAAAAAATCACTATTCAGCAAGAAGATTACAACCCCAGAAAGTTCTCTAGAGTTGTAAGGAAGGACTTCACTTTGGTATCCACTAACTGCAAATCTCAAGCTCAAGCAGAACACAGTGACTATGAAGGACCCCTTCCCCCAAGGGCCCAAGTTGCCTCAGAAAATAGCCAGTATTTGTTTGATTGACAGTTTTGAATTTCCATTAGGTTTCTCAGTGTTCCAGATGTAATGGGTACCTGACCAGCCAGGTGATAGCTGATCAAGCCAAACTGTCAGGTATCATCCTACCTATTCACTCTCCTCAACCTTCTCTCTGCAAAATATCTTCCTCCGCTTCACTGAGCCAAGTTATCCATTCAAATTATTTTATCAACCGTCTGTAGAGACTGTGCTTTGGCATTTCAGTATTACCACAGAGTCATCTAAATTATACGTTCATGGGCTAAAAACTGAAGTGTTTCCATTAGATCTCCTGAAATACAATAAGTATAAAAAACATCTGTTCAGTAGGTTTTGCATCTTTCATACCTAACAAGCTCGTAAGTGTTCTACCTACTAACTGAAAACAGACCTCCTTGCTGCTTGCAGGAGCCAGTTCTAGACAGAGAGTATCTCTGGACAGCTACCTTTCTTCATAACAAATTGAACTGTTCAACAATTACTAATTTATGTACTGCTCTTAGATGTTTTTTAAAAAAAATTCCCATTAAATGCAGGAAAAAAAAGCCCAACAACAACCAAGTTTTGACTTGGCAGATCAGTTGGTATAAAAGAGCAGGTAATCAGCTGAAACAAAACAAATTTAATTTCTTTGGAATGCACTTTTCTGTGACCCCACCACTGAAGACCATTAAAGAGAGGTGGGAACATCAACTTTTCCTATGGGCACCACCAGAAAATGGGGCTAGGAATGTTTTGTTCTTAGACCTTCATTCAGGCACCCAGGTGGGAGGCTGATGGGGCAAAGCTCTCTCTGGTCTTTGGCACAAACACTTCACATTGAAGGTTTCACACATGACTGAGATGTCACCATTTGCCCTTGCTGCTGTCAGAGCTGAGACCAAGGTGAGCACTCAGATATGCCAACTCTTCACTTCAAACACAAAATGCCAAGGACACAGGTAGGAGGGTTTATGGTAGATGAGGTACAAGACTGTGTTGTGAATGAAGTGACAAATAAATGAATGGCCAGGTAGACAAGAGGACAGGACAGGGTAACCTGGTGAGGTATCAGAAACTCTTCATTTCATTTCTGACTTTTCCACATGATTTGTTTAGCCTTTTTGTGTGTTTCCTTGGGCCACTTTTCCTTATCTTTGCGTGCTTATCTTGACAGCACTCTCAGGTCCCTTATAGCTCTCAGAGTCTTTCATTTCATGAAAGAAGAGAACTCAGTGACAATACTCAACTTGGAAATGCCAGAGCCATTTTGCCAAAATTGCCCAGAGTTCATAGCCCATGACTATAGAGAAGATGAGGGAGGTTGCTAACACAGAGATTAATACCATTTGGTGCCCCCTGTTGTGCATTTAGGATCCCCCTTACCATGGTGCTGGAAAGAGACTGTGAGCAGAGCTCCACCAAAAAGAAGTCCCCACCTTGAATCAAGATATTCAGATAAGAAAGAGAAAATGTGAACAAAAACTAGTAGTGATGGCCCCCCAGCTCCACAGGTGAAAGAAAAGCAAGCATGTCCCAAGTTGCCCTGGAAGCATGCTTGGCTTTTTTCTAGAAGTCTCTTGTGAAATATGAGACAATCTACCCGGGGCTATAAACACTTTTGTATATCACACTTTTTATTTCTGCACATTTAATTTTTCCCTATACCCCAAATTCATTTGGCAGGAAAGACTTCGAGGCAAATCTCTTGGGTCTGTCAAAGGGCCTTTCTCCTAACAACTGGTTCCTTAAGTTATAAAACAGCAGGGGCCTTGTACACTGTGTATCCAGGCAGCCCATTACAATCACCGAGACATATTTTTTCTTTCTAACAGCCCATTCTTAAAAGTCAGAGCAGCTACCATTTGTTTTTTGAAGCTCACCCACCTCATCAGTTCTTTGAATGTTATAGGAAATGCTGGCAGTGAGGCAAACACTGGTCTTTTCTGCACCTCAGAAAATAATGGAAGTAGAGGGCAAACTGGGCCCCCTGCTTTAAGATTCTGCCTCAGCCATGCCAGCTTCTGAATTGTCCAAGAGATAGCTGCTGTTACTGTTTTTAAAGTTAGTGGCTGTATTGCTCCTGAGATGAGCCTTTCTCTGAGTATTGCATCTTCTCTGGTTCTCTGTGGAGAGTGATGGCCCCTTGGTATGGGTGACATGTTTAATGCAGAGCTGATGTGACTAGTTAGCCATTCCTACTCTGTTAATCTAGGAAGTGCCATGGAGGCTCCTGGGTTGTATGACATTGACATAGTCCTGGGTCTCTGGTCTGCTTCCCATATATAAAGAGGATCATAGGTGTAAATAAGGCCCAGGCTTCCCTGAGCCTGGACATAGCTGGAAAGCTTCAGTGGGCTTCATGAGAAAGAACTGGAAGCCTCCAGGGAGAGAGGAGTCAGTTGTGGAGCACACCACTGAGCACAGCAAATGGAGGCAAAGGCACCCAGATGGGAACACCATGTCCTGGGGGTTGTCCCTGGTGGGCATGGGAGCTCTCTGGCTGTGGCATCTACCCACTCGGAAGGATGATGGTTCTATCAGATGGTCCAGGTGCTGGAGGTTTTGCTCAGGACTGCAGGAAAGGCTGCTACTGGCTGCCATGATCCCTGGATGGCTCTGCAGAGAGTTACATACCAGAGGTCTCCTGTAGAGCCTCACAGGAAGCACCATATTGAGGTACTCATCTGATGGGAGCTGGGCCTCAAAGGAACACTACAGAGTCCCACAGAATAACCATACTGAGAAGGTCATATGGAGGGAACTGCAGGCTGGGCCCTCCATTGAAGAGCACCATCACTTCCTAAGCGCATGCTCTATACCTATGGCACCGTTGCCCTTGATCTTACAAGAAAGCTCTCGTTATCATCCTCATTTCACAGAAGAGGAAACGGAAGTTCAGAGAGGCCTTGAAGCTTGAGGAAGCCTGAGCTATTCAGTTGCCTGAAAGCCTTTCCATTCTCATTCCATCCCACCCCTGACCCATGCAATGACAGCTTTCAGTGACAGGAGGAAGCGCCAGTTTTCAGCCTCCCAAACTCTGAGAAAAGTGAGCACTCGTTTCCCACTCGGGGCCTGGCATGGTTGGAGGCACACGGGTGCTGGGCTGGGCTGCAGCTGGCCTACAGACCTGGAACTGCAGCCCAGCCTCAGCTCCTGGGCAGGGTGTGACTCTGGAAGAGAGTGCTACTCTTGTGTTTACTCAAAGATAGTCATTAAGTCACTGTGAAGACATCTTTTCCACAGACTAAACAACCCTACTCCTTTTTAAAAAGCTTTCCCCACAGGAGTTATTTTTTGGTCCTATTTTTCTATATTTACTGGTTTCCCCCAGGCACTCTTCTACTCCTCCATTCCCTATTTTAAACAATTCTGTAATGGGATTTTGATCTGTACCAGAGAAAGAAAAGGAACATATTCACAGTTTTCATCTCCAGCCCTCACAAATTAATAAAAGGCTAGCATGGATGGTGATCAGCCCCTGCGGCCACTCAGATTCTCGGGCCTTTTGCTGGCCAACCATGTGCGTATTCTATATCCATTTCCTATTTTCATCTAATCCTATTGACCTCTACCATGTACTTCAGAGACTACTCCTTGGTCTCCCACAGCCCCCAAACATTTATACCACGCACTTGGATCCAGCTAATTTCCTTGTGACCTCTCAGAGGATATTCAAAAAGAGTGCAGTGCCCAGAGACAACTTTTGAGGAGTAAGAGTGTTGACCACACACTTCCTTCTCCCTGCAGGGGTCTAACATCCCACTGGGGAAGAGGGGTCACTTACTCCGGGGTTCTCGGGGTCCATCCACTGTGATTTTGATCGCTCTGTGGTAGGTGGCAACTTGGGGAGGGTTTGTGAAGACGGTGATGGTCAGAGTGAAGCTCTTCCCTGTTGAAACACAAAACAGAGCGAAATGAATGAGGGGATGGCGTGAATCCCCTCATTGGTGTTGCATTACTGCCTGGAATCTGGCCTTGCTAACATTCTGGAATGCATATCTATGCTATTTCACTGGGTATGACACTTCTCATACTCATATGGATTTAAAGCAATCATCCACAAACAATAGGATCAAGGGAGACTTGAGTATTTTCTTGTAAGTCAAGACTCCAGAGAATGCTAAGAGCCAGACTGGTAGCCACCCACTCCCTGACCCCTCATCTCTACCTCTTCTTCCCATACCATCTTCCCAGTTATTTTATAAAACCAAGGCCAAGAGAAATGAAGAAATATTTATCTTTTCCCCTCTAATATTGTTCACACTTCTGAGGATTAGAAATTATAGAATTTCTAAGTTTGAGAATTTCTAAATTAGAATGATTACTACTACATTTTAAAAGTACTAACTGTTGATTTTAAGTATGATTTATAAATACTAGTTGTTATCAGAGGCATTCATAATTGACCAAAATGAAATTTTCAGTGAATGAATGGACTTAAGGAGGACATGTAACGGGTAGATTAAGATTAAGATTTAATTATTACTGGGCCGGGGAGATGGCTCAGTAGAACAAATGCTTCCCTGGCAAGCGCAAGGGCCTGAGTTCAATCCCCAGTTCCGGGGGGGGGGGGAGATTTAATTATTACTATTAATGTAAATATGTACCTATATGTCCATGTAAAAATTTTACATATACTTATGGAAGGTGAGCTCATCTTTATTGCCTCAGTTTGACAATTTCAATGCATTGCTTCTTGACCAAGTGGCTCTGAGAATAAATACTGGGTTTGAATTTTGACTAACTGGCTTTCAGCAGTGCTAGATCTCGACCTCTCTATGCCTCAGTGGCCTTGCCTGGAAGATGGACATACACAACTTTCCCTACTCTTTTGGCAGAGGTTAAATGAACTAATATGAGTGAAACCACTAAAATACCACCTGACATTAAAGGTATGTATGGGTGTCTATTCATTTCATCTCTTTTCTCAAATTTCTATAATGGGACCATAAATATTTGACTAAGTATGCCATTAAATCCTATATTTAAAAGTTTTTCAATCTATATGATTTCTTCTCTTAATCAGGTAGTATGAAATAAAATCCAATAAATAAAAAGAAAACAAACCAAACCATTGTCCCTCCACTCCTATCTGTTCCAAAACTGATTTACTATTTTAAAACTCAACTTCTGGAGTGGAGGAGATGGCACAGTAGAATAAATGCTTCTCTGGCAAGCACAAGGGCCTGAGTTCAATCCCAGGTTCCGCCAAAATACTCAAACCAAACCAAAACAAAAAAACAAAAAACCCTCAACTTCTCTTCCTTGCCCAAAATGAAAGAACAGAATATTTTCAATTGCCAGGCATGTTTTAGTTCAAAGGAAGGCCATGCAGAAATGTTCAGTGAGAATGCGATCTTTGATCACAGTGAATCAACGATTCCCAATCATGCTGGGAAACCCCCACTCAACAATGCCCAAGGATTTGTTCTCCATCTCTTAAAGTCTATGTTGAAAAGAACAGAAAGTGAACAGCAGATGATGATGCCTGCTGTGCCTGGAATGACTTTTTAATTGAAGTATTGAATGACCTGTACAGGCAAGAATGTATTCTGGGAAGTTATAGTCTATGGAGCCAGAGTACTGGGGTACCAGGAAACCCCACACCTGAAGTCTTTTGGTCCAGGAATGAATCCAGCTGGACTTTATGGATCTGCTGACGTCCTTTGGATGTTACCAGGCAACACTCTAGTTGAGCTACATCCCTGACATGTTGAGCTGATGGGGAAGGGTGTCCAGAAGAGTCTTAGCTTGGTTCACCAGGAAGGGCATGTTGATGTGGCAACAGATGCCCAGTTAGCTGTCCATTGCTGTGGTCAGTCTGGCTTTCTAATCACAGATCAAGAAGTGATTGCAGCCATAAACCCTGGAGCAGCTGTATCCATGCAGCCAAATGCTGGCAAAGCAACATTCCCAAGGTCACAGTTACCTATCTCATGAAGAATTCACATGAATTATACCTTGATCAAAAAGACTGAATCCTAGAGAGCTGGTTTTTAGAATCTTCTCCCTGGTAAGACCTCTGCCCCACCCACACTGACTCTCCTTCCTCTTTAGCCTTGATTTGAGTCCCTCAAGCTTCTGCTCATGAGTCAGGACATTGTGACTTCAAGTCCTGATTTCCCAGCCACTACACCAGCCACCCAGGCCTCTTGGCTTGAGTCTTCCCTCTGTCAGAGTCTAGCAGGTCCTTCTTGGTCACTTGCTCCTCAGGTAGCCATTTTTGTGGAGACAGCCTGCTTTGTGGCTTTCTGAGTACCCTGAAGAGTCACTCTTTTGATTAATTAGGATGTTGGTTTGGATGGGGTTTGTACCTAGCCAGGCCTAAATTCCTTGTGGGCAGAAGTCATGTTCTGCACCCCGAAGTGTCCCTTACAGATGTGGGGGGAAAGGATGGTAGGAGGGGACTCCAGGGTGGAAGCAGGTTGACATGGAAAACATAAAGTACCTAAAGACACCTCTGGATAGTGACACTGCCCGGTCCTTAGGAAACCCAGGGCATATGTGTGTATGTACGCATTTGTATGCATCTATATGTGTGTGCATGCACCATGCATATGGATGTGTGTACACATATGTGTACATATGTGTTCATGCATGCATGAGTATATGGATGGCTGGATGCGTGTGTGTATGGGTGCATATGTATGTGGGGTGGGAAGAGACAGAGAAATGGTAGGTTCTCCCAGCACAAAGGACTGGATTCCCATACAAATGGCTTTATGTCCCTTGGTTTCAGCTCCAATCCACAAATGGGGCCGGCTGTTAGGGTGACTCCAAGGTCCTGGCCACCCTGAGACTGTATCTTCTGTGGTTCTGGAGGGCTTCCTCCACTGTCTCCAGTAGCAGCTTTGGAGATGTTACAACCACGCCACATTTATAAATGGCCATGAGCTGGGTGGCTTAAAGCAGCATAAATGTGCTCTCTCACAGCTCCGAAGGTCACAAGTCCAAAATCTAGGCGCAGGCCAAAATGTGCCCTCTGGGGGTGCAGGGTCCCTTCTGGCTCTGTCTGGGCTCTTGCCTGCCCCGCAGCCCTTGGCATCAAGCTGCAGGCTCTGCACTCGAAACTTGCCCCCTCCTCTGCAGGGCTCCTCCTGCTTTGCATCCCAGCCTCCCAATCTTCCTTTCCTCGTGAGAACCAGGCACAGACTCAAATCCAGTAGGATTCTACCTCAGTTAGAGCTATAAATTGCTATTTCCAAAGAAGAGTCAAATCCGAGATTCCTGTGGACACGGATTTTCAGGGGACACCATTCCACCCAGTATACATATAAAAAGCCCTAAGAATCCCAGTCAAGACATAGCAAATGTGTTTTACCCTCTAGGACCCTTGTACTCCTAAGTGACAAGTATAAAATATTTCTGTTCCTAGTGTCAGGATTTCTAGGTCTATGTAGAATTTAAAACTCTTCAAACACTTTCTCATATACAATTTCATTTGGTCCTCACAACAACCTCATGAAATCAACAACATAGATTCCACTGCTCTTAGTAAGTGACAAAGCTAAGGCCCAGAGAGATTCAGTAATTTTCTCGAAGTCACACAGTACATGCGTACATCAGGATTCCAACCTCTTTTTTTTCCTCAACCTCTTTATATTCACTGATCTTTGCATTATCACTGGTGTCTTAAATCTCAAATTGCAAACTCTGTGACATTTACATCAGGAATCTAAACTCATGGTATTCTACCCACACTTGGCCACTGTCCCCTGAAAGTGAAAACTGTCCTGCTGATACACTTATGCGTACAAACTGCCTTCTGCAGCTGTGAACCTGGGTTAAGAGTTCAAAGCAACTTCTTCCTAGGCCCAGTTTGGCCTCTGGCAGTTGGACTCTTATGATGTCCCCCTGGTTAACCACAGACTAACCTACTTCACAGAGAAACTCAGCGCCCAAGTGACTATTTGCAAAATCATTGCTCATCATCGTAATTCTTATCATTTTATGCTCATCATGTCACGTGTCATCACAGGAGTTGCCAAAAAATCCAGCCAAAGCTACCAGATGAGGCATTTCCACCACATTCCCCTGGTGTGTCCTGGGGGAGGGGTCTGTGGTCTTCCTCACAATGGGGTCTGCCTACAGCTTGGGTGCAAAGACCTTGTTTACTATCTTATAGGCAGCGACAGTACTCTTTTCCTACAGGGGAACGCATTGTTCTTCCTCTGGCCTTCCTTCTTCCAGCCAGACCTGGCACCAAGCCTGACCACGGCATGGAGGTAGCCACTGGGCATGCCTGCTGAATGCTCTGCCCTCAGCTTGCCCCAGCCCAGCGCTGCTCAGACACAGCTCCGCTTAGCCAGCACCTGCAGGAGTCAGTGCTGTGCCCTGGAGGGCACCTGTCATTAACCAAATTCCCTCATTAAAATGACCTGTGGGCCTGGTATTTTAAGTACGTGGGTGTGGAAAGTGAAAGACTCTCAAGTGTTTTTCTCAGCAAGCTGCAACCGGAAGAGCAAGCAAAGTGTCAGAGGCAGACACCTGACAACAGGTTGGTTAACCTACCCCAGCCCCACTCTGCAGGGCCAAATGCAGCCTCCAAGGAGCTGGACAGCCCACAGTCAGGGAGGCAACTTGGCCAGAGTCGCTGCCCTCTGGAAGCACTGCTGGCTGTGGCCCAAAAGACCAGCAGAGGCTCAGATAGGGTGGCGGCGATTCCAGGGATGCCCCATGGGCCCTTCTCAGAAGTGTCAGCCAAGGACTCCCAAGGGGCCGGCTGTGGGGTCACAAGGAGGAGTTATGATGGAAGTCACTGGGAAAGGGGGAGCAGAAATCTGCCGAAAAGTCATTTGCAAAATAGAAGGAAATAATAGCCCTTTCAGCTCACAGCCTTGTTATGTAGGTAAAATGAAATTACATTAAAGCAGGGCATCAGGCAAGCTT